AATGGCAAGATTTAATTCTTTTTGATTGCCAAGTAATACTCCAAGTAATACTTCTTTATCCATTCATCCATTGATGGACATCTGGGCTCTTTCCATACTTTGGCTATTGTTGATCGTGCTGCTATAAACATGGGGGTGCATGTGTCCCTTCAAAACAGCACAACTGTATCCCTTGGATAAATACCTAGTAGTGCAATTGCTGAGTCGTAGGGTAGTTTTATTTTTAGTTCTTTGAGGAACCTCCGTGCTGTTTTCCAGAGTGGCTTCACCAGCTTGCATTTCCACCAACAATGCAAAAGAGATCCTCTTTCTCCACATCACCAACATCTGTTGTTGCCTGAATTGTTAATGTTAGCCATTCTGACAAGTGTGAGGTGGTATCTCATTGTGGTTTTGATTTGTATTTCCCTGATGATGAGTGATGTTGAGCATTTTTTCATGTGTCGGTTGGCCATCTGGATGTCTTGTTATCTGGCTTCTTTTGATTAACCTTGTGTCTGTAGGATTCATCCCTGTGGATGAGTTTAACAGCTGTTCCATCATTCTAATTGTGCGTGTTATTCCATTGTGTGAATACCCATCCTACAGTTGATGGACTTTTGAGTTGTTTCCAGTTTAGGGCTACTACAAATAATGCTGCTATAAATATTCATGTGCATGACCTTCGGTCCATATGTGCATGCAATTCTAGGGTATATACTTGGAAATGGAATTGCTGGGTCATGGATAAGCATATCTTCAACTTAAGTAAATAAGACCAAACTGTTTTCCAAAGTAGCTGTGCCAAGTGAAACCCCCTCCACCAATGTATGAGAGTTCCTGTTGTTCCATATCCTCCTGACACTTCTTATCATCAGTTTGTATGATGTAGCCTATCTGGTGAATGTGGAGTGGTATTCTCGTTGAGGTTTAATTTGCATTCCTTGATTACTGTTGGGGGTGTGCATCTTTATTGGCCATGTGAATATCATCTATTATAAAATTCATTGTCTATCTTTCTACTGGATTGCTTACCCTCACTGATTTGTAAGAGGTATTTTTATATTCTGGGTATCAGCCTCTTTGTGGCATGCCTTTTTATTCTCTAAAATGATGTTTTTAATGCACAAAAGTTATTAATTTTAATATAGTCATAATTATTGGTCTTTTCCTTTTATGGTTAGTGTGCGGTGCTATCTCCTCTTCCCTTCCCTTCCCTTCCCTTCCCTTCCCTTCCCTTCCCTTCCCT